AGGGTTTTTTCCAGTCAGATCTTGAAAACCTCCAAGGACAGAAATGCTCCACAGCCCCTCTGGACATCCTATTCCAATGCTTAGTTATCCTCATAGTTCTATGTTATCACAACTTGATTGATGTGCATGCCATTTCCTCCTCCAGGTTATTGGTAAAGATACTAAGATACTAAATGCGATAGGCCTCAGGATAAACCCCTGAGCAACTGCAGTTGTGTCCAGCCTACAGGCAGAGTACAAACCATTACTTTTCAATCCCAGAATCCAGATACTTTTTGCTCATCTGGTAGTGCATCCGTCTAGGCCACAATAGCCAAACTTGGATACAAGGGTGCTGTGAAAGACCATCTTGAAGATGGTTGCAACATTTGCCCTTCTCCATGCATTTGGGACTTCCCCTGATCTCCATGACCATGATGATAGAAAACAGCTTTGATGTGCTATCAGCCAGCTCTCTCAGCACTCTAAGATGCATCCCATCTGCTCTCATGGACTTGTATGAGTCAAGATTTCACGAGGCATTTATGAGATCAGTCCTTTTCTACTGTTGGTATTTCCTCTTCTTGAACCCTGTCTATATGCGTAAAGGCCTGGGAGACCTTGTTGGTGAAGACCGGCGCAAAGAATGCATTGAGTAACTCAGCCTTATGTGTGTCCGCTGTGCTTTTGCCTCAGTCAGCTGCAAGCCCACATTTTCCTTGTTTATTCCTATGTAGCAGTAGAAGTTCCTGTTGCCGTGTTTCTTGCCAATCTCTACTATAGTTGAGCTTCAGCTTTCCTAACATCATCCTTGCTTGTCAGGACAACGTTTCTGCATTTCTCCTTTATAGCATTTCTCCTTGCTTCTATCTTTTTTGTACATTCTTTTCACAGTCATGAATTCCCTTTTTAGCCAAACCAGACTCCTTGTTCATCTACTTATTTTCCTCAGTATTTTGATGGACTGTTATTTTGTCTGTGGGAGGTTATCTATAAAGACCAGGTCTATTGAGTTCGCTTGCCCTTCAGAGCTGCCTCTCAAAACACCCTGTGTATTAGGTCCCTGAATAAACTGAATTCTGCTCTCGTGAAATCCAGGGTTTGTACTCTGTTACTTGCCTTCCTCATTCCTCTCAGGATCCTGAGCAACACTGGTTCATGGTTGCTACAGCCAAAGCTGCCACAGATTACCACCTCCCCAGTCAGCTCTCCTTTGTTTGTAGCAGCTCAAGTTGATCACTCCAGTTGATCATCTGATATTTGTGTTAAGAGCTTATCCCTATCTTCCCCGGAAAGTCAGCTGGATTGCTTGCATCCCACTTTGTTTGCGTTTCAGCAGATATCAGGAGATGGGAGTCTCCCATAGGGATCAGGATCTGTGATCTGCAGATGTCCTCAAGTTGCTCAAAAAGACTTTTTCCACTTCCTCCTTCTGATTAGGTGGTCTGTAACAGACTCCCACCATGATGTCATTCTTAGTGGCTTCTCCTCTGATCATGGCCCACCCGCTCTCAGTCAGTCTACTGCCTGTTTTACAGGAGACTTCAATATCTTTGAGCTCCTTCAAGTATTCATGGTCTCATGAAAACAGGTGTCCAGGTAGGAGAGAGAGACCCAGATCGGTGCTGCCACCAAGGAGTCTGCAGTGTGGACTCGGGTTATCTGTTCTGCTTGGCCAGCATGCCCTCTGGCAGACCATTCAGCACACAATGCTTGGAATCAGACACAGCATTGTGGAGTTGAGGGCTATGAAAAGGAGATGGAGGAGAACTTAGGAAAATATTAGTAGGCACCCTGCTCATTTTCACATTGGACATAATGGACAGAAACAGTAGATACAAAGTAGTAAGGCAAGTGTTCAGGGCACCTTTTTGTCCAAAATAATACAAGAAACTGGTCAGAAGGCATGTTGCTTTCCATTTGACTAAAAATTGAAAGTTTTTTTTAATGTTGCTTTTATAATACTCTATAAACAAGCTATTTGAGAGTGAGATTTTCAGACAAGGAACTTGAAGTGAAGGGAGAAATCTGTTCATAACGTACCCTCTTGTGCCCAGGTATTTTAACATCTGGAATGTAATGCTGCCTGTTGTAATACCTCTGCAATACTGTAACACAGCAGGATGCATTAATGAGAGTTTCAACCTTAAACCCACAACATCAATGAAATTTATAGTTGTCAGGCTGTTAACATTATTCAAACATTGTTTCTGTGGTTTCAATTCCCATTTTACGTTCATGTAGGAAGAAAAGTCATTGTGTTGACTAGCCATGAAGACAGAGTCCTCCTTAGACTTGAAATTTCTATAAAACAATTAAGTATTGTTTATTACTCTTGACAGCATTCATACTATGCATTACAGGGTGTGTGTGTGGGTATTTGTGTAAAAAATTGTGCTAGAATCTCTCTCTTAATATTTCAGCTGGTTTAATATTCTTGAATACTAAAAGTGCCTTGCTCACGTTTTGGAAAATACCACAAAAATGTTCAAAGCAGAAAAGAAAAATTTACATAAAATTCTAGTATCATCTTCTGTGGTTGTATAGGTGCCATCTGATATTCTTCCTGATGGGTAAATTTATCTTCAGATGTTTCATGTTTCCCTGCTCTTGTATCTCAGTGTGGTATTTTGACTTAATACATAGAGCAAGTTAGTCAAAGAGCACAAAAAAGAACAGAGAATTTCTTGAAGGCAAAAATTTCAGGGGGAAAATGTGGTGAGCACTGTGATTAAGTCGCTCTGCAGAAAAATGAAATTGTTAAATCTGCAACTGATTAAGTTGAAAGAAAAGAAGGGAAGTCAATATGTAAAAAAGTGCACATACGGTTACTCTTTCTGGAAAGGAAAACCCAAGTTGTTTCTCCCAGAAAAAAAACTAACAAGCACACACAATTTACAAAGCTCTGAAGTTCGGGGGGGTGGTTGTGTGGGGTTTTTTATTATCATAGGCTTCATGGTAATTCCAGCACAATCTCAGGAAGTAGTAAAAATAAATCTATCTGTCTCTTGCTGTATCAGTCTGGGTATTAACAACTTCCCCATGTTATGTCGGTTAAAGAATTTCTTCATGGCCCTCAAAAGTACAAACTCGGTCTCTGCATTTAATATGTTGTTACCTGCTGCCAAGCCTCTAATAGCTACATTCATACGTTCTGTTAATCATATCTCTTTGTTCTAGAAGCCTGTGTTTTGGATTCATAATTAACGTTTTTTCCTGCTCTGATTATTTTCCTCCCATCATGGCAGCACATGACTTTCTTTTTCCTATTTAAAAACAAATATGTAAATGGAGAAGTAACAGAAATCAGTGTATTTCGACAAAGCCTGTAATCTCTTCCTAACTGTGCTTCCAAATCTAAATTAGATTTTCATGTTGCAAAACCATGAACCATTTCATGTTGTAACTGAAATCACACGGTTCCCAGAAGACAGGGCTGAAGCCTGATGAGCATAAAGAGCTACAGAGGATTTTCCCCTAGGTCCCAGTGTAAGAAGAGGTGTATTTTCAGTGTTAAAGCTTGGTGGGAGATAGGTGAGCCTGATCTCAGTGTGTAATCCATAGAGTCCAAAGGAAAGAATTATCAAGCTGTATTTCAAGTGAACTGGAGGGGGACTGGCAAAGAGATCTTCAGGCTATTGCTCTTTGACATCTCGCTGATTCAGGAGTAATGTGGGAAAACATTGTGGAGCCTGGGATGGCTTCTGTCTGTTTGGGTTCGAGTATTTCTAATTAGTGAAGACGTGTGTGGTCCAGACTTTGCTTGGGCCCTCCAATAACCACCCATTTTGATCATCATGAAAGCAAGTCAACCATTTGAAAACTACTCTGAAACCTTCAGGATCCTACCTGCATTTTGCTACCGATAGAGCCCCAAGGAGTCACTGACGCCCGGCTTTTCAACCTGCGACGGAGGAGGGGGGGATAGTTCCTTAGCTTGTCGCCTGCCTAAAGACGTGTGTCTGCGGGCGGCGGGGCGAAACTTCTGCTTGCGGCTGGTGTCTGCTGCCCAGTGATACTTGCTTGATTGCAGAACCTGAAACGCCTTTCATACGTATCTGAAATTCAGAGGAAATTATTTTGAATGGTACTCTTTGCCGATTTGGACTGCACTTATCTCCAAGACAAGATCGCTTTTATATGAATGAACAACGTGATATTTGTGCCCATATTAGAAGTAGGTTTGTAGGCTATAAATCACTTTCTGGGTTTACCTTGCTGGCAACATCTTGAATATCTGTTTTATCTGTTAAATAACTCTTCCTGAAAATGTGAAATGGAGGAGGATCGTAGTACAGTTCAGATTTGTTTTGAAGTGGCTTGAACGAAGTTCTCACAGTAGGGTTTTTTTTCTTCTTTTTTTCAAGTCTAGCATTGACTCATTTGGTGGTGTTAAAGTGCACTTTCTACTTATCCCCAGAGGAAAGTTAGTATTCTTTTAAGTGAAACTATTTTAAAAGCAGAACACAAGCCTAAAATAAGCCAGTGTTCTCTAGAGTTCTCAGAAGGTGTAGATTTATTTACTGTAGTTAAATCATAATTAGTTCTCAGGGGATAGTGTATCTTTTAAACTGCTTTATTGCCACCATATTGGTTTTCTAAATAATCAGAAACTGCTGCTCTTATATTCTGTAGTATGAACAAAAATTTGCTGTAAGTAGAAACAAATGTCTAGAATTGCTAGTTGTCACTTACTGAAGATAGTGACACGCAAAAAATAAGCACTTCAAGAAAATGTGAAGAAATACAAAACGTATGTTATCAGAAGGCACCTTAAATGAACTATGGCTATAACTTTTTCCAGCGCAATAGATACAGTAATGTTTTACATGATCGTTTTTCAGTTAATCTTTTTTTAATATGCTAATGCTTTTTGGGCAAGAATAAATGTTAACTGAAAATGGATAAATGGTAGTGCAACATTAACGTAAAATATTACCTGATATTTAAGCCTAGATTTTCATGAATGTAGCTTAGTGTTCCAGCTGATAAGCATGGGGTTTTTTTTTCCTAATTGGCAGGTTAATGTTTGAGTTGCCTGAGGAGATGGGTTTAATAGCAATTGCCGTTCGACAAACACAAGGGAAAGGTAAGTTTCCTTCTAGTGGTAATAAATGTGTATTAAACCTACAAAACAGGACATTTTAATGTCACCTAGTTGCCTTAAAGATACACCATGAGTATTTTTGATAATAAAATCTTTAGAGTAATCGTGTCCTCTTCTCCTCCTGCTAGAACTCTGGATTCAAACCCAAAGCCTAAGTCAACAGAGACCAAAGTAAACATTTTCAGGATGTTTGGTGGCTTTTGCAGAAATGATTTAGTGGTCTTCTAGTTTCTGCCAAAAGTCTCCCCAGTCATGGAAACTGCCATCACTACATTTAGTGTAATACAAGTCAGACTTCTAAATCAGAACTCCTTTTTGGCTTAACTGGAACAAGACTGGGTCTTGACTTGCTCTGAGATAGAGGTTTCTTCAGTCTGCAGGACCTGCCTGAACTGTCGTGTGGGCTTTCACAATCTTTTGCAGATAAATATGAGCAGGTTCTGTCTCTGTCCCAGGAAGGTGCTAGCACTGATTTAAAAGCCACATTCATTTTATTAGAAAAACACAGCGCCCAGCCTAATAAGCTCTTGTGAGCACAGATCTACATGAAGGTGTTTACCTGGCTTTTGGTACAGATCTAGCTTGGGTCAAGTTCATTCCCAATGTGGATGGATTTCTAGATGCACATGGAGCATCTTCACAAATACTTCTTCGCTTAAACAAAGCAAGATTTTTTGAAAAATGTATGCTACCAGATACCAGGAAAATCCTGGAAGCAAGTCATTTAGGACATCCTAGGAAACTGAGTAGCAGCATGCACATTAAACAACCTGCTGTTTTCTTAAAGAAAAAGCTTTGCACTTTAACCTTTTTTCCTTCATTTCCTAACATTTTTTCCTTCAAAATTAGTTTGGAAGCTCCATTACAGGACTCATGGTGGATTCTTTGATACTATTGAATCTTGCTCTTTTGTAGTTGTCTACATTAACAAAGTGATCTTTTTTATAAATATTTTTTTCTTGAGTTGAAGTTAATTTCTTTCCTCTCCCTCCCCAGGTCGTGGTGGAAACATTTGGCTTAGTCCCCTGGGCTGTGCACTATCCACTTTACATATCACCATTCCTCTACATTCCAACCTGGGCCAGAGAATTCCTTTTATTCAACACCTGGTGTCCTTGGCAGTGGTAGAGTCAGTTAGATCAATACCAGGATATGAGGTATGTCATTCTAATTTATCTCAAAAGTCCTGTTTCTATTTTCATTAAATTCAGATTTTAACTATGTCTTCTATGTGTTGAATGACTGAATGCATAATATAGTTCTTCAGCACTAATACAGTGGTAAACTTAGCCTTCATATATGCTTGCTTATTTATATGTTTTAAGAAGTCTAGTATACATATGATGAATACTGTCTTTTATTGAGCTGATTAAGTATACTACACTCATTTCACTCATAATCTTATGAAACTTAAGACTCAGTCTTCAGCAGTAAAGAAAACGTCAATTTTATTTGTCTAACAATTGAGTTAATTTGTTTTGATTTTGAAGGAGTTGGGGAAGAGGGAGGAGGGAAAAATGAATAAAACTGACAAATCCTTTTCTGCTTTTTTTGTTGGTGCTGTTTCAGTGGTCACTTTATCCCTTTTAAAGGATTTTTCCAACCCTTGTTTAAGGTTGAAAACTGATTTCTAAAGCAAGAACTTAGAAGTATTGCTCTCAAGAGGGAATCAAGTGTCCTGTCATCAGTATTAAAATGAAGAACCAGTCTTCTTCATCACCTCATATATCTCCTTTTTAATGTTACCATTTCCTAATATTTGCTAACTATAAAACTTTGGTATTTTACAGAAGTAGTTAACTAAAGCATATGTTTCCTATATTACAGAAAATCAATGACTTATACACATTTACACATGAACTTTATTATAGTGGCACCCAGTAGCTTTGCTGCAGTTTAGGGTCTGTCAGCCTTTCTATTAAAACCTTCTAACTTCAGTGCTTCATAACTTGACTATAAAAACAAAATGCTTCAGGCTAAAATTTGCAATATAAAATATTTGGCTAGAGTGAATAATTTAACCATTTAAAATAGAAGGGACAAGAGTTAGTTTTATGAAATACGAGTGTGACTGGGGAAGGAGTTAATTTATGAATGGAGGTGGTTTTGCTTCTGTACACCTACCCTGGTATACTGTGGCATTTTTTATTTTACTCCGTTCAAGAGGAAAAAGGTGACTGAAGTACTAAATATTAATATAAAAATAGTATGTATCAATAATACGTGTACTGTACATAGCACATGTGCAATACGTAGCTTGCTATGACCGAGACAGAGCTACTGAATGTCTTTAACAGTACGTCCACTGTAGACAATGGATGAAGACAGTGTTATGGGTCTGGACTCAAATACGTTAAAGCAAGGAAATTCAAAGATCTATCGGAAAGTCAATGCTTACATTTCCCATTTAGACTTAGGTAACGCAGGGCATTTCTTTATGTCAGATGAACATCTATGCCATGCAAACTGCAGTAGCTGCAACAAATGGGCTAATCTGTAGATGAGGTTTCACTGTCTCCTCCAAATGTCCATCCCTCTGTGGACGTATGTCAGAATCTTAATAATGCTTTTAACACACTGTAATGTCATTCGCTGTGCTCAAAAGTCCATTTCAGGATTTCCGTTCAAACATCTGCAATACCTGTGTCTCAGTTTATCAACCAGTCATCATTTTTAGGACTGCCACGAACATTGACTATGCTAAACAGGCAGTGACTGAGGCCGTTGTTCTGGGTCCTCACGGAGAAAATCTGACTGCTCAATTCGAAGTTTTGCCATCAGATGTTAGTGCTGCAAATGCAAATGGGCCATATTTCAAGAGGGTGCTTTGCTTTCCCATTCTGAGAACAGCAGGCATCTCTCTCTAGTAAGTGAAGGTAAGAATGTGCTCCATTTCCAGCATATTTTGTGATGCCCATTGTTTCTTTGACATGCAGGTAGTTGTGCAGCACCTTGTAACTCCATTTTGTGGCAAAGTCTCTGCTATGTAGTTTACATCATGAGAATACCCAGTTGACTTGGTGGTTCTTCATGCTTGCTGTCATTTCAGTTGCAGAGCTAGTGGCTGGTGTCTTACAGGTGTATGTTTTCCTTAAGTAAGATCTACTGAATAGCTCTTCGGAAGATCTGTTAACACTGATAATACTGTTTAACTGTGTCATACTTTGCATGTCTCAAGAGTCTTCTATAAATCCTTTCCCAGTCCGAAGAGTCAAGTTGTTTTCCATAATGAATATGAATTGGTGATACTCTCTCTTAGAATGCTTTGATAGCAAAATCAGGTAGTATTTCCTGTCAATGTACGTGTAATGGACTCCTTTCTGGCCTTTAAATCTGTCAGGAAAGTAGACACGGACCCAGGTGCAGTTTTCACACATCCTGTAAAGGGATTTCATAATCTACAATAGGAGGGAATGCGACTCTTGTAGTCCTGGAGCACCTCCCATAATTTGCCTCTGGGGATACAGTCATATGCAGTTTTTCAAACTACAGGAAGCACATTTGCTTTCTTTTTGTGTTTAAGTAGCCAGTGCAAAGTTCAGTTCAGTTCTGTGGTTTCAACAAAAACTTCTCTATTGCCCTGGAACAGTGTCACACAGCACAGTTTGTGTTTCCAGCTCCATGGTGTTGCTTGAGTGTAGCCGCTGAAAGTGTGAATATATTTAGGACATTACTGAAGTATTTACATAGTTGTGAATGGGAATTTCTCCTGTCTGCTAAATTTCCTTTCTGAAATTCAAGATGTCATTGTCTCCTTGTCTGGTTTCTGCAAGGATCCTCAAATACAGTGTTGATGTTATTGTGG